GTGCAACTTAATTACATTGGCAGCTCATTTTATGGTTAATATTACCAGTGAATTCTTTGTGAAGAAAGCTCAAAGAAAGCTCAAAACCAGGGCTGATTTCAGGGACACCGACGACTTCAATGTGTTTGCTGTCTTAGATGAATAGATTCCAAGGATCCTTTGCGTTCTTTATACAATGTAAACATGTGACTTGACAACTAAGTACTTATGAGCTATTTATTTTTTAAGAAACTCCAAAATGTAGTTATTTGTTCTTTTTCATCTTATTACAATATGAAAATCATATAAAAGAATTCAGTTTTGGACAAGATGGTCCAACCAAAAAGGTAAAATTAATGAGTAAAGACATGTATATATATATATATATATACACGCGTGATTTTATAAAGCTTGAAGAAGAGAATGTTGAGGCAACAACATCAATGACATCCTTTTCAATTCAATATTAGAACTTAAATAATGCTTGAGAAAATGGGGTTTAAAAATGGGTTTGAATATGTTGATGAGAAATGAGAAGGAAAATTCAGGTCAATGATTCTGTTTTCAACTTGGACTTGTCTTTTGTGTGTGTGTGTGTGTGTTACAAATGAGGTATACAAATGAAAGCAGAGGACTTTGAAGACTGCATTCACTACAGCAATTCTTGGAATAGATTAGTCTTCTTTGGTGACCTGTCCTCTTAATTAAGTAAGCTTTTTCAAGGACCACACTTTCATTTGCATTGCTGGAAAACTTATTAGTCAACTAATTGTGTTTGATTTTTTATATATACCATCTGGAAAAGATAATTTTAAACTAATAAAGCAAGGAAGAGTTTTTTATGAAGAAATATTTGATAATTGATATAAGAATTGCTGGGAAAGGCTAACTTTCACGTCATGCGATGTTTGATGTTTTGTAAAACTAGTAGCTCAGCAGCTTGACCCTTATGGCAGATAGGTTCAATTCTAAATGCTTGAGATGCATATATACACATAGCGTACATATTGAAATTTGGAAGCTTTCAAAAACACTCCTGCTTATCAATAATTAGACAAACCCTTTGAATTCTAACTGCATAATTTATATATTCCTTAATTTCATCTCAATAAAGCACCAAACTAATGTCATGTGCTCATGGCTATAACCCCAATTATTAAATTATTGATATTCTGGATAATCACATGGCCTGGCCACCATATTGATGATTTTCTTTAGAGAAAACAAAATATAATAAACTGCCTTTATCCTGATCAGATACCACTCCCACTGAGGACTGCTCAATGAATAAGATCTCAATAATCTTTGCCATTTGATCAAAGATGGAAGTGGCTCCACCAAAAAGCCAGAACATTCTAGTCATGGCCTCATCATTGTAGCCTTGTAGGTACAGATTGATTCAATTCCCTAAGAGATATTGCCAATAAAATACATGTAATTTCAACAATGACATCTTTCTTTCGTTCTCATTATTAATTCTCACATGTATTCCCTAACCTACCAAAATCCTTTTAGAATTTAGTGTATAATCTCGGTCCTCTATATCAAATGCCATACCAATAACTCAAAATTAATCTCCCTATTCCAATCATTGGAGTAATAAAAGAACTTTTTTCTATATTTCAACTCGTTGCAACCATGTAATCTCTCAATACATTGTTAAAATGATTTCAATCTATGGTATAGAATGATACTATGTCTTTTTGAAAACTAGCAATTTCATTTACATCAATGAACTGTACATGCTACCCAATCACTGTAGAGCTAGCAACAAGCCTTATCTCCTCTCCAATGACTCTTTGGACCAAAACCATTACAATAGTTCATCCCATCAAGTTGTATATGGGATCAAACTCTGAAAGCAAAAACAAGAATTCAATCCCCTTCAGGCCTTCCCCTGACTAGAATCATCACATAACAATCTGAGACTGTCCCTACATATTAATGGACGAAATCCAACATTCCACTATGTAGACAAAAACTCAACAGAGGATTCGCACTATTCATCCAACCATGGTGCCAACTCTACCTAGTGTGGACCTCTCACTAGTGTGGACCTCCCATGGAGACTGTCACTCTCATTTGTCAACCTTGATGTGAATGAGAGAGAGATTCAGCTTCTTAACAAGAAAGTCCCAAGACCGGGAAACCATTCCTACCTCACTTTTCACCTGTTGCTCCAGATGGACCTGAATTCAGTGTCCAAAGTCCTCCCAAAGTGGTTTGGAATCCTTCCATGCCTCCCACTGCCACTCAGTGAAACCCCTTGAGCAACCTCCTATTGTTTCAGAGTTTCTCAACCCCAAAAACTCCGCCATGTGCTCACTCTCTTGAAAACTAGAGATCACGGCAGCCAACAAATCCATTCTAGTATCGACATAACGCAAACAAGAACAAAATTAAGGAGAAAACTGATTGAAATATATGCCCATATCTACCGGGATGTATTCTGCTTGCTTTACCTGTATTTAATTTCCTTTACTTATTTTCTTTTGCCTATCAAATTATTTCATCATTTGACAATCATTTAATCTCCTAAGTGATATTAACCGGAGTGAGAGCACATGGTTTTTATTTCACCAGTTTTCTAAACCGGATGAAGTAAGTCTTGCAGGAGGGTGGTTTTCATACCTTTTGTAATGCCAGTTTGGTCTATCTAATTTCATAGAATTAAACAGTTCTAACTTTAATGGAAATAAGTTGAATCCTTTCTATTCTAGCCCTTGCTCAGGAGTTGTATGGCAGATGGATTGAAATTGAAGGGAAGAAAAGTAATAACAAGTGAGAGGTCAAGGTAGGCCAGAGTTTCTTGTAATGGTAATTTGACTCACAATGCGTACTCAGATATAGTAATAGAAGGGATAAACTGAATGAGAAAAGTTTTTGTTCTCAATTATGTTACTCAATGGCTGAGTACTGATTATTTGCAACTAGAGCCTCTTTTGGATATTAGATATGGCAAATAAGAGATAAATACAACCGACAACCATGCGATTCACCAAGAAAAACATAATGTAGAAGCCATACATAACTGTCAAAATCTCACAATTCTTGCTCCAATTATAAGATTTGACACATTGTATGGTCTGTTCTCCAAAAGGAAAATTTTATTTATGAAATCGAGTCATGAAACATAGTACTTTTTAACGTTATGATTCTGTGTCTAGCCAATAGAAGAGAGAGTAAGGTATTCTGATTCTCCATGCTCATGGATCTTTTTTGCAAGTTTCCTTCTCATAGTGCAGTTGATGATGAAGTATTGTATGGATCAATGAACACATACCCTTTTAATTATTTGGCTATTTGAAATAAGGTTTTATCGGAAAGCATGACACAACAAACAATGTTCTAACATATCCCACATTTGACTAGGGAGACGTTTGGTTCGTGGAGAGTTGATCACTTTATAGGGATTTTAATTGGTGGGAAGGACTTTGCACTGTTTAGTATGTGAAGTTGTTAGGAATGTAACTTTACATGAGTATTAGATTACAACCATGGGAGGGAAAGTGATTCCCCTCGGGATTGGAGGAAATGTTACTGCCCCTTAACTGAGGGAAAGTAAAATGGACCAAAATGACAAAAAGCCCCATAAACTGAACTCTCTAGTGAGGAGAGGAGGCGCCATTTGAAACTGGTGGTGGGAGCAATAAGGAAGCAAAGAGAAAAAGGAAGAAAAGACAAAGAGCCCATCACTAGAGTGCAAGGAGGAAGACGAGAAAAAAAGAAAGAAAAGAAAAACAAATAAGAGCCCATCACTAAAGAGCTACAAGGAAACGAAGAAAGAAATAAAAGAAGAGCCCATTGGAAAGGATGATGGACATAGAAAGAAATAGGAGAAAAAAGAAAGAAAGAAAGAAAAAGAAAAAAAGTGGTGGATTGTGTAGCAATTTAATTAATTAATTAATATTTTTATAAAAAAAATTAAATTAATTAATTTAATTTTTAAAATTTAATTAATTTATTAAAAATAAATATTTAATAATTTTAAATTTTGTAATATTGAAATATTATGTTATTTTTTCATACTATTATTTATTATTTTAAAAATAAAATTTAAAAATTTAAAAATTTACATTAAAATAATTATGAGTTATTCAACTTTATATTTTCATACATAAAGATAATTTTGTAAATTTAACCTACAATCTCGGTAAAGTGCTTCTAAACCAAACACTATAATGTAATCACATTCTTTATAATTATTACTTTTTCTTGTTATAGCAAACATTACTAGATTATTTTCTTAACAATCATATTCTCAACAATCACATACCTAACAATCACATTACCAGTAAAATACCAAATGTAACCTATTAATCATGGGATTCCCTTGTTAAAAAAGTGGAGGAAGTTATACTCAGCACAAAGTAATACATGCTAAAAAGGAAGAGAAATCTAATACATATCCGTCTACTCTTCTTTTGCGAGCGTGAAATCTTTTCCATAGGAAAGTGATCAGAAAGAAACGTACAGGTTGAAAGTGATGCTGCGATGTTGATAAGAGAAATCAATAAAAAAAAGAAGAGTCTAGCTTATCTCAAATTCACCTTATTGTGGACAGAATTATTATGTTATTGCCATGGCAAAGCATTTCCAGTGTTTTAGTACGT